GTTTAATTGATCAAACATATGATACTTACTTTATTAATAAAGGTGTGTTTCTAGTTCATACGGCAAAAAGAAAGAAGTTTTATGGTCACGATTACTGATGGGCTTCATCCGCGGTTATAATACAAATGTGTAAATGTCATAACAGCCATCTGATCTTCAAATGTACCGATTGTGTTCTAATTATTACTAACGGGACATTATGACTAAGTCGTGATTAGCATGATGGAATATACATGCAAAGAGATACTTTGTTGACAAATCCTGTTTCGGTCCTTTCGTAGTTTTATACGGTTTATCACAGTTTATCGCCATGTTCTGCATATTTCAAATCGATGAACGAGATGTGGACATCGGAAAACTCATGCCGCCTCTTATTTACTTAAAAAGTCTTCTGTTCTAAATATCTACCGACAGGGTAATTATCCCTAGGTTAAAACTAGTGGCTGGTGGTGCATGTATAGCTAGAAACGCTTACCTTGTCGAAACATTTTTCATTCAATTTCATAAGTTTTTTTTTCACCCGGTTGCACACCTTTCATTTAATTTAATCAGATTTTTTATGCCGTTCGCACTTGGTATGTTTCAAATTAATTCAAATTAATTGAAACATCGGTTAAATACTGTTTCCTTTTATATATTAAGGACGGATATAACATGGTAAAAATATGACGGCTTCGGTTATCTGGTCAACTATAAGTGTATATGTTTTTTTTTTCAGTTAGTTGTTTCTTTCGACAAGTTTTTTGACCCAGATATGGTGGATGTCGTTGAAAAATTCGATGCCATAAGCGGTTATGAATATGCCGTAACAGATAACTCAGCTTTAGGGAAGACATATATGATTTGGAAAAGCCTTGCAACGTACACAGAAACTGCTGATACGGTAAGCAGGGAACTTCCAATATATCACTTTATGCATTTGTTCCGTAAATATGTATCCAATAAATAAAATATTATTCCATCGACTTTCATTTGCCATTTTAGAATAAGGTGACAGATATTTACACTCATTCAGTTCCGAAATTTAATTTAACTTTATTGTTCAGGTCAATATGTAGTGTTGTTGTTTTAAATTGATTTCATTGAGTAAGATGGTGTCTAGACTCTGATATCTCTACTGTCTTTGAAATGGAAAATCAAATGTTAACATCTATAGAAAAAAGTAAAGTATTATCTAATTGTTATTCGAATTTTTGTCTGATCTTGAAACATTTAAATGAATAAAGACTTCTACAGTGCATCACAATAAAATAGGTAATTATAAGTTTCATTTTCCAACTTAATAAATGAATATTAAACAATCACGTGTTTTGTGAGATATATGTGTTATGTTTTATCATATCATTTTACATGTAGACTTCATCATGTTTTTTATTCTACTGATCTTTGATTTATTATCAGATCAGTAATTCCCACTTGATGAGTTTACATAGCATCTTTGAAATCTTTTAATTCCACTTTTTTATTGCATTGCGATTGTGTTTTTAAATTTGAAACACTCACAATGTGCTTTTAGTTTGTATATAAGTTGGATTCAGTTTTTTTTTTATTTTATTTTTATTCATGTCGACATATATGCCATATCTCTTGTATTTAAATTAATTTTTTTTTGCTTTCTTTGTAAAAAGTGTACATGATAATAAAAAGATATACATAAACTCATTAAACTGTTTTATAATATTTTTTAGATTTCTTTTGACATCATATTAAACGGTACAATGGACTTCTCAAAATGTAAGAAATTAACAGTAAGAGGCTACAACAAAGTCTCATTGTATTCATCAGTGTCAACAGATATAAAAGACTGTAAAGCACAAAATCCAACATTTATTGATCCGAATATTGTCATCGATGCCGTTGGAAAACCAGATTCTTTGGGTAAACTTTAGTTTTACTTTTTTTCACATATATCTTTTTGATTTTTTTTCACATATATTTTTGATTTTTTCAGAAATATCTTTTTGATATATGTTACATAATCAATCTTTGATTGAGTATACCAAGGGGACAATCAAAATTTATAAGCTAGAAGCTATTAACATAATACTTTAATTTAGTAATTCATTCATAAAAGCAAACTCAAATCTCCTTTTATATAGTTATATCAATAAAACGTTTTAACGTTTCGTGTATATTTTTAAAAGATGGAATAGGACGTCCAATATTCTTAGAAAAGAATGCCTACTGGACTTCTGCAGACGAAGATTACACGCCATACAAAAACTTGATATCGGCTGTTTGGCCATCACTGCGTCACAGAAATTATAGATATGCTGTAATAAATGCTCGGTCTGTTGATGTAACAACATACTATAAACAGATCAACCAACTTAATCTAGTGGATCCATGTTCTCATCCTGATGCCATTAAATGTGGACACACAGGTAACCTTTTAAATTCTTTCTTTATTTGTTCTTATTTTTGCTTCCTTTGTCTGTAAGGAATAAGATTTCATCTTTAGGGAAAATCTTAACCTGGCATAATGTAGTGGAAAGTATAAAGCGAGATAAAAATCTCTAAGGTTTTTTATTGTAAAAGCCAAGAATCTGAAAGAGAAGTGAGGAATAGTTCGATAATCAAGTCAGTGAAATAAATAGTCAGTTGGAAGGTGTCGTATGTGTTTGCCGACCACAAAAGTAAAAAAGTCCCAAACAATTCTAAACTTTACATATTTGATGTAATGAAAAGGAATAAGGACAATGTATACAAAAGAGGGACGAACGATACCAGAGGGATAGTCAAACTCATAGATCGAAAACAAACTGACAACGCCATGGCCAAAAATAAAAAGACAAACAGACAAATAATAGTACAGATGACACAACATAGAAAACTAAAGACTAAGCAACACGAACCCCAACAAAAACTGGGGGTGATCTCAGGTGCTCCGGAAGGGTAAGCAGATCCTGCTCCACATGTGGCACCCGTCGTGTTGCTTATGTTATTACAAATCCGGTAAATAGTCTAATTCAGTAAGTCACATTCGTGAAAAGGGAAGGGTATTGTAGTTACGACATAAGGAACATATCCGATATCATCTGTGAAACGTTTATTCCATAACGGTCAACCAACTCGTGATGGCGTCCGTAAAATTTACGAAGGGATGATTTCAACTTCACCATTTGGAACTCATATTGTTCTAAAAAAAATAAAATAACAAAAATACCGATCTCAGAACTCTAAGTCCCTTAAGAAATGGCAAGATCAAAAGCACCAACACATCAAATGAATGGAAAACAACTGTCAGATTCTGACTTGGTACAGGCATTTCCTTATGTAGAAAATGGTGGATTAACCCTGTAGAAAGTTTCATCCAATAGCTTTAGAATTTTTTTTGGTTGGTTCAACATTAATTATTACATATTTCAACTTTATACAATATACATTAACACATGTCATGAACTGAATATCCTTTTGTCATTGCCATATAAGCGGGAGGTTTGGCTAGCCATAAAAGCAGGTTCAACCCATTATTTTCTTAAAATGTTCTATACCAAGTCAGAAATCTGGCAGTTGTTATTTAATAGTCCGTTTCTATGTATGTTGGCGTTTGTTTTTGTAGCAGTTCAGTGTTTATGTTATTCTGTATTTTTCCTCTTATAGTTGATGTATTTCCCTCGGTTTTGGTTTGTGACCCGGATTTGTTTTCGCTTAATAGATTTATGACTATTGAACAGCGGTATATTACTGTTGCCTTTATAGATTAAGCACCATACTATAGTAGACACTGATTGTCAGACTAGTCGTCTCTTATCATATAATTGAGTACAAAGTTAAAAAATTGTCATTATATACAAAAAACTAAATTTTGGCATAACGTAAAAAAAAAAACCCAAAAACAACAGGATTTAAAGTAAAATAATTTATATTTTGATCGAATGAAGAAAATTGTCAACAAGATATGGGGTTGATATACGAAAAAATGTAAAACCTTTGAAACTTTGGAAATACTGCACTGTTTTCAGTGTAAAATGATAAATCACAAGTTTAAAATTTTCCTGCAAAAGATGGCCATATCGTATATGGCAGAAAAGCTAAACTCTATGCACGTTTTAAGTACTAATTGAACTACTGCAACTAAGCACTAGTAAATCAATTTTAGTCCTAAAATGTCGCTTTGGATCTGAACATCATTTGAACAGTCTGAACAACAAATTATTAAGTCATGTGCAGTCTTTCAGTCAATTTTCAGACTAATGCACTACTGTTTCAAATCAAATAACGTCCAGCACTATTCATGCAGTTCGCTTGCAGTCAATTCAGTACCGTTCAGTAACCTTTTCAAACAGTTCAGTATGATGTTAATGTGTACAGGTCGAAAACAAATACTGAACAGTCTGATATAGACTAAAAGGATCTTAATTTCCTGCAAGCAAATTGTCTGGAACGTACTGAATTTATCGCTGTAGATCAGCCTGGTGATTGACTGAAAGACTAAAAATGAAATAATAATTTATTGGTCAGTCTTTTAAGATTTGATAATATCAAAATTACCGTTTAAGATCAAAATTGGATTTTTAGTGAAGGTCATTTGAATCATGAATTTTGTCTCTTAATATCCATAAACAAATTTTAATGAGATGTGTTTGATTAATTTGCAGACAGGGAATTCATCAATGAAGAGTTTACAAATAACGAGCTAGTACATGGTACAAGATACACAGTTTGTATTTATGCTCCTCCAACATCAATCCAGCATACAGCATGGCTTGAACAACTGGTTGAAGTAACATCTTGTAGTGACGGTATCATTGTGGATCTTACTCCTCCAGTTGCAGGAAATGTGTGGATAGGATTTAACCCAGCATTCACATATCAGGTAAATTTGGGCGTTTTTGTGTTTTTTTATCGCTTCGTTAATAAACATTTACTTTTATTTAAGGACTTAAACCCAAAATGCATTTGTATTTATTTCGATCATATCTTAAAGCTTTATGTACTATTTGTATTGACCATCAAAATGTAACCAATATCTTTTTTTTCCATTTTTTATTTAATTTAGACATCTAACACTGATATGTTTATAAACTGGGATGGATTTAATGATGTCGAGGAATTTAAGACAGGACCGCATGCAAGTGGTATAAAAGAATATATAATGGCTATTGGTAAGCAGTTTTCTATTGTTATTAAGTTAAAGAATATTTTTTTCACCTGACGATAATAAACTTTCACCAAACATTTCATTAAAGTTAAATACGAAATAAAGTCTTTTATCGAAATTAATAGAATTACTTTAATTCCTATTCTCTTTCAAAAATGAAAACAACACGTTATGAATTTCATGTGTCCGAAGCGATTTTCTGGATTTACCTTCATCAGGAACGCTCAATGCCAAATATTTGAAAGCCAAGGATGTACAATGGTTTATGCTATTTTTACTAGGTGAAGTTACACATTGGTCTTGTTGGTCGTTATTTAAACGTGTCTTTTTTTAACAGTCTGTACGAGAAATTGATCCAAACCATTTAATTTTTATTCTAAGGTACTACTGCGGGTGGTAATGATGTTCACGATTTCGAAAATGTAGGAATTGTTCAGCACAAAGCGTTACATAAAATGGTAATGCAAAATGGATATTCATACTATGCAACTATACAAGGTATGTATACTATAACACCTTTAAAATGTTTACAACGTCGTCTTATATTTTCTTTAATGTATTCGTTTATTTGTTACATGTAATTGCAAAATGACCAGCTATATTTCTAAAATTTAGAAATTGAGCATATTCTATGTATGTGTATGCAATGGCTGTGAAACGGGATTTATAAACATATTAAGAATATTTCAGTCTTTACAAAGTTCAATTTGTTTTAGATCAAATCTCCTGAAATTTAAAACAAAATTAAATACAAAAAAACAATGCGTGCATGCATTGAAAATATTTATAAATGTTAATGAAATTAATTTACAATAGCAATTCTAAAGTAATAAACTATATTTCAGCCATTGATTTTGCCAACAGAGTAACAACAGTAATATCAGACCCTATCATAATTGACAGCACTTCACCACTAGCTACAAATAGCCCTATCACAATAGAAAACCGACATATTATCTCTAATACAGAAATAAATGCATGGTAAGTCAATAACAGTACCGTTATTTGTAATTAATAAATAGGTCTCCGTTCTTAGAAATCCTTTCTTTTGAACACGCATGATGTATTCTGTTCTTAACTTTTCATTCCTGTTTAGCATCATTCCAACACGTAAGGAGTCCTCTCGACAAGTTTTGCATAACTTCACGTTTTCAACATACTGCTCGCATAACATATATATTGAGTTTGTAATTTTCGATAAAACATTAACACATTAGAAATGTCTAACCTTAAAATAAATCATTAGATTATGGTTAAATGTATTAAAGCGCATGCAGTTGTTTCCATTGATTTGATGTGTTTGATCTTTTGATTTTGCCATTTGATAAGGGAATTTCCGTTTTGAATTTTAATTGGAGTTCGGTATTTTTGTTATTTTACATTTTTATGCATTGAACATTTTGTGGATTAGTTTCTAAAAAATTGAAACTGAACAAAGTACCACTTTCTCACCGTTTCGGAGCACCTGAAGACTATTCTGTTTTATAGTATTTCGTGTCTTTAGTCGATAGATTATAAATAAGAAATGTTATGTAAGGTTAAGTTGACATATATTATTTTGTTGGTTTATGGTAAACGTATTATCTAACCTTTTAAGAGTGTTTGTATAATGTCCACTCTTAAGTATCCTAATATGTTGATATTAAATGATCCGCATAATTTTAGCTGGAAAGATATATTCACGGACCTGGAAAGTGGCATAGATTACTATCTCTGGTCTATAGGTTCAGAACCTGGATATACAGATATGATGTCTTACGTAAAGGTCATAGACGATGAATGTGGGATGACGGATATGAATAATCCTTTAGATCTATTAGAAGGTCATCTATATTATATTAACGTACGAGTAAGTATGTCAAAGAGTGTTGTTTATTTTCTAAGAGTTGTCAAAACTTGTTTGAAGATTTAAATGATAAAGAAAGGACATGACGTCCCCTTTCACGCAAACAGTATATAAACGAGGGGAACATCATGATATATTATATTATTTTGAAGGCCATGATGAATGTATATGGCAGATCATTTAGGGGACTATATTGCAATTTCTAAAAAGTAACTGGTTGAAAGTACCCAAATGAAGTATTACATGTGAAAAAAGTTAATGCAAGATTAAATAAGCAATCTTTATGAAACATTTAGACTATAACACCACAAGAACAGGGAAATGTTTACGACTTTAACATACGAGTAAAGAACGGTTATGTTGGTTGAATTCGTTACAGAAAATTACTAAATCTGCTTGAAAAGTCAAAATAGCTACATTTTAAGTGGAACTCGTTACCTGCAGTCGATCAAACTGTATCTGTGCGTTGAGGAATACATCTAATAAAACGGCTAATATTAACAAATTACACACTATATTGGCAAAAAAATCCTCTTTCTTTCGTTTTCATGATTTTCTTCATAATATGTTGTTTCATATATCTGATAGTTTTTTTGTTCATTGTTTATAATATTGACAATCCGTTTATGATTGAAATGTATTTCAATTTATGCAGGCATTTAATAAAGCTGGTTTATCAACACTTATAACATCGTGGTCGTTTGAAGTAGATACAACACCGCCAACTAGTGGGCACGTATACGACGGCGATAAAAGTGCTCTAACAGGAGATCTAAAGGATATAGATTATCAGATCGAAACCGAAGTACTTCATTCTTATTGGGAAGGTTTCCATGATTCCCATTCCACAATTAAGGAATATTATGTTTCTATTGGAACATGTCCGCATTGTGAGGATATTTTAACCGAACAGTCTGTAGGAATAGTGTATGGTAAGTGTTTGCTGTTAACTGATATTAGTACATTATCATACGGAAATTACTGAGATGAACTGTATATTTTGAGCAAGACTTAACGATGTTTAACATGTTGTCACATATGGTTTAATTTGAATACACAGATAGACCAAAACTTTATTGAAAGTATTTATCACGTAGATTTTTATATAGCTTCATATTACAACATTTTCTACAAAATGGCTCAACCAATGATACCTTCTTTTTTCTATATGACTAATATGTAAAAGAGGGACGAAAGATACCAGAGGGACAGTCAAACTCATAGATCGAAAACAAACTGACAACGCCATGGCCAAAAACAAACAGACAAACAGACAAATAATAGTACAGATGACACAACATAGAAAACTAAAGACTAAGCAACACGAACCCCACCAAAAACTGGGGGTGATCTCAGGTGCTCCGGAAGGGTAAGCAGATCCTGCACCACATGTGGCACCCGTCGTGTTGCTTATGTTATTACAAATCCGGTAAATAGTCTAATTCGGTAGGTCACATTCGTGAAAAGGGAAGGGTATTGTAGTTACGACATTAGGAACATATCCGATATCATCTGTGAAACGGTTATTCCATAACGGTCAACCAACTCGTGATGGCGTCCGTAAAATTTACGAAGGGATGATTTCAACTTCACCATTTGGAATTCTCGGTTTAATAGCTTCCTTGTGAGCAGCAATCCTCTATCAAGGAAATCATGATAGGAAATACAAGCCCGGGAATATCGTATCAATTGGGAGATATATACTCCGTATGCAGGCACTGCTGGAATGTTGCTACATAGAAATGGAAAGTTCACAATTGGGAAGCTGAAATCATCTCTTTTGTCGTAAAGTTTTGTTTTCAACCGACCCATCATGGTCACTTTCTAGATGTAAGTCAAGATATGAGGCAGACTTAACTGTATCTGTAGTATCCTTTATCTCTAGTTCGATGGGATAGATTCGTTCAACATAGTCACCAAATTTTGTATTATTTAGTGAGAGAACATCATCTATATAGCGGAACGTAAAGTTAAAGGATATTGCTAACTTCTTATCTTTCTTCCTAAGAAGTTCCTGTATGAAGTCAGCCTCATAATAATAAAGAAACAAGTCGGCAAGAAGAGGGGCACAATTGGTTCCCATTGGAATTCCGACAGTCTGTTGAAAAACACCTCCTCCAAACGTAACAAATATGTTGTCAATCAAGATCTAGAAATCAAGCATCTTGATAATGTCAGTTTCAGAGAATTTTTTGTTTGAATCAGACTGACTCTTTACAAAGTAGGATTTATCCCTCCCCAAGACAAGATACTTGTATCTACGTTTGCCATGTAGGATTATCTTAGGCGAAAAAGAAACAGATTATTTTGACAATCAACCTTTTGTCAAGATATTTTAACATAATCAATATATCATGAAATATCTTCTTGTTTCGAACTATTTTTTAAAGTTATATATCCTTTTCATTCAGAGTTTATTCTACAATACCTACATCTTGGAGCTGGATTGAGATATTATACTACAGTTACGGCATGTAACACCGCAGACATGTGTACGACGGTGACATCAGATGGTGTAATAATTGATAATAGTCCACCTTTAGCTGGTGCTGTTCAGGACGGAACAGGGATATATGACACAGAATATCAATCCATGACGTGAGTATTTAATATTTTTGCGAATGCCTGTTCATGACAGATGTTTCTTGTAAAGATCAGAACAAAAATTGTTTATGTTCCATATTTAAATTTGAATTATAATTTAATTTAATAGAAACCAAAGACTCTTATTTATATGTCCATTGAATAGATAGCGTTTTTTACTTCATTGTATAAATTAAGACAACAGTAGTTTACCGATGTTCAAATCTATTAAATTATTTTGGAAGAGGCAATTCAAAGTATCAAACCGAAACTGGAGCGAGACCAGGTTCTTCGACAGGGTAAGTGTTTACTGCTAAGCATACATGTACTATGCATTTCGCGTGACTGAAGTGTTCCCCGTTCTGGAACCAATCTATATCGATGTATTTGGTTTTTAATGCTGTTCAATTTCGCGCTTGATTTAACCTTCAGTAATTAATGCCACTGGTGGTGGATGGTTCGTTCCCGAGGCTATGACGAGCCTAGCAGATTTTTGGTTTTAAATCTTCGGTATTGAATTTAACTTTCAAATTTTTTTATTCGAATTCTACTGAAGACATTTGTAGACGAATCATGTGTATGGCGTACTGAATGTTATGTATTGTATTTTTGAAAACGGAAGGATTAAGTGCAAAATAAAGTATTCATTAGTTTTGATCCTGGTGTTGTTATTTTTTGTGTAATATTTCATTGAAAAATAAAATATAAATAACTTTGAAATTTAGGGAATAAGATTGTTTAGATAAACCCTTTAGTTGCAGACTAATGATGCAACTTTTTTTGTTATAAAATACAATATGAATAAGTTCTACACATTTTATCTTTAATGTCAAATAATGTTTAAATTCAGAACATACTTGTCAGCAAAGTGGTATGGATTCGATGACCCACAGTCTGGCTTAGAAAAATATGTGTGGAGAGCCGGGACAACAAAAGGTGGGGATGATGTTGTCAAACCGATGGAGTTCCATATCACACAGACAGCTGCAATATACAACACATCACTAGGACTTCCGATAAATGAGAGAATATTTGTAACGATAAGAGCCTACAATAAAGCTGGTAAATAATGATAACAGTGATAGCAGATGTTTTACTGCTCCCTTTGTATCTTTCTAGAACAGATATTACAAACCAAACTAATTTAATTAAGAAGATGTGTGTTTTAGAAATATTTTAGAATAGAAGCTGAGAACAGGTCACTAAAACATATAAACTAAGACAAATTCATCTGGTAGTAATGGCGAGATGAGGCTAATGTAAAAATTATGATTCAAAAGTTCTGACAACATGATTTTTTAAACGATTCTAGTTCTTATATGTTTAGTTTAAAATAGTGAAGTCAATAAAACCTGACACAAACCAAATGTTCGACTATATCAACCAATGAATGAAGGGAAAACAACTGTCATACTCCCGACTTGGTACAGGCATTTCCCAAGAAAAATGGTGGCTTAAACCGGGTTTCATAGCTAGTTTTTCTTACGTATGAGTTATGCATGTAGATCAGATCTGTTCAGATTATATCTTCGCGGATTTGTATTGGTTTCGAAAATGAATATGATTAAAACTCGCATATACCAAACATATTCCAGGTGTTGGTTTTTTTTCAAGTAAAACTATATTTCGTAATTAATTTCAGGAATCTGGGCGGAGTCATCATCAAATGGATTCATAGTAGATACAACCCCGCCAAATTTTAAAACTACGCCGGTCTTTTCCGAAGATTTTGGTATTTTTGGATTCTCGCAAATTTATCGTACGTCAATGAAAATAGAATGGGATATAGAAGATACAGAATCATTCATACAGAGACAATACGTCTCTATAAAGTCTCACATTGGTGGAGAGTTCATGCTGTCATCACATTCAGTATGTCTGTAAACTATAGAACTATAGAATTTTATGTGATTTACATTATACTAATGTGAACAAATGCAAGGAAACTGCTAGTCGGGAACTGATATTGTTGTTTTTATAGACGAATGAAATTAGGTATAGTTTGTTTGCGAAACCGATAGAATAGTTTATTTGGGCTCGGATAATAAATATCCATTTACCTTTTTATCGGTTTTCGAAGATCAATAATTAGCCATTTATCAGTTCGAATACATCAGCGAACCATTTTTGAATTTAGACCTTATGTATGTAGAAATATGTCTACATGAGCACATTAACATAATAACAACACACCTGCTAAACGTTTCACAATTGATGATACTCAACTGCCAGTGAATATTTTTTTGTGTCTGAGAATGGCAATGAAGATAAAAATTTATTATACATTAATTATATAAGCATTGTATTACAGATAAATGGTATAGCAAGATCGTATGTGTTTACTGGATTAGATCTCCATGATGGAGTAACTTATTACGTTTCAGTTATTTCCTGTAATGGTGCAGACATTTGCACTGACGCTACCTCACTAGGAATGTTCGTTGACAGTACACCGCCGTCAAGAGGTTTGTTTTTGTTGGTTATGAGTTATCACGAAACCACAGAATAATAGGAACAATCATACATTGATTTTCATGCTTGGAACACCCGAATAGCACTTCTTATATTAAGGATATGAATTATTAGTTAATTTTGTTGGTTTTGTTCATATTTAGTTGTAGAAATAAAAACCAAGTGATTACTTTAACCCTTACATTTCCACTAATTATCATGATTTATCAGTATTCTATAATAAATATAATTTGAAAATTAATCAAAGATCGGTTATAGTAATACATATAAGTTTCTTTCATCTTGCAATAGTATAACATATTTGACTATTCTTCCCTTCTTTACCCACATATTCCTCATACAAAACTTAAAGACAAAATGAAGAATTGGTCTGACTTTGTTTCATAAAAACGAGTGGCCAATGGAGATACACATATTTTGTTGTAGAGAACATTAATGGTTCTATGTAAAAAAAAACACTCAGCTACAAACAAAAAATTCTCTGAAACTGGCATTGTCGAGACGCTTCATTTCTTGATTAATACTTTATTTGTTACGTTTGAAGGACGTGTTTTCAACAACAAATTGGCATTCATATGGTAACCAACGGTGCTCCTGAGTACTCTTCCGACGTTTTCTTTTATTCATATGTTGATGACTAAACACAGAAGCTTCATATAAGCTACCATTATAATTTAATGTCACGTTTCGCTATATAGATGATGTCTTCTCACTAAATAATTTCAAGTTTGGTGACAATGTTGAACTCATCAATGCCATTGAACTCGAAATAAAGAATACCTCAGCCATAGTTAAGTCTGCTTCATAACTTGATATACGTCTATACATTGAAAATAAGGCTTGATATAAGGAGAACTTAACGACAAAATAGATCATTTAAGCTTTCCAATTGGGAACTTTACGTTTCTTTCAAGCAGCATTCCAAAAGCGCCATCATATGGAGTATATGTCACCAAATTGATAAGATATTCTAGCGTATGCGTTTCCTATCACGATTTCTTTGAAAGAGGAATGTTGCTTACAAGTAACCTATTAACCAAGGGTTCAAGTGTTGAAGTTGACGATGGATATGTTCCAATTGTCGTAACCACAATCCCGTCCTATTTTCTTCGAATGTGACATCAACGAATATGTACTGACATAGGAAACACGTCAGTTGTCACATTATCTGTTTATCATTCCAGAGCACTCCAGATTAAACCCGATTTTGTGTTGTCAGTCCTTAGTTTTTTAGGTTATATTTTGTAGACTTTTTTTTGTCTTTTCGTCGTTTTTCGTGTTTTTGCCATGACGTTGGTAGTATATATTTGATGATGACTTAAATATTCCTTTGGAATCAGCCGCTTCACTTGTATATCTATTCAAAATCAAAACAAATATGTTAGTCATCTTTTTTTCACACAGGTATGTTTGCAATAACGACCGATCATGCATCAGACCCTGACTTGGCACGACATTCAGCAGGTTGGATGACTTGGACATCACATGCAGTGTATCTTGCCTGGCTTGGATTTAGTGATGTACATTCAGGAATTGACCATTACATGGTTACCGTTGGCTCATCCTACATGGGAAAAGATCTATCTAAGGTAAGGCCTGTTTATCTTCCAATAAACATCTGTTCTGGTTATTGTTTTTTTTTAATTGTTTGGCTGAACAATTTTTATAATGGTAATGCAAAGAGTTAGTTGAACAAGCTGAACATAATCTTAGAAACAAGGGCGTGTGAAGGTGTGATTTGCCAATTTCCCGCTTCCTTATGAATTTGAAAAATTGTTTAGCAGTCTTCCTTTTCCCCTTAAAAAAACCAGGATTCACAACTAATTCAAGAAGACATGCAGTTAATACATATACTAAAAGTAAGTGGTTGTTTTACATCAAGTTTTTGTAAACCCCTTACCCTTCCACCCAGATATGCTTGTTATAGAAGACGAAAATATGTTAATTTTATACTGTGAGATGCATGATTAAAAATACACTAAAATAGCTGCAAATTTACATCGGTGATTTTATGAATCACTACCCATTCAATCTAAAAAAAATGATATCCTAGTTCGCATTAACCGAAAATAGGAAAATTGTCGATGAAAAGTTGTGCTTGCATAAGTATCTCTTCTACATTGTTTAGGTTACTTACGTTTCATACATAATGTCTTCTTTTTCAAAACTTTTATTCTAAGAACAGATTTTATTCCGTGTCTCATGATTACTCTGAGAATGGTTATATTGAACATTGTTTAACATGAATGGACTTTAATTGATAGGACGTAACTACAATACATACTCATACTGATACTAACACTGACCATGGTGATGAAGGAAAAGTTCAACTGTTCACTGTAGAGACCAGCAGTATTTCAAACCTTGATACGCTATTCATAACAGTTTGGGCTGTTAACAAGGTATTGTTGAACCCAGTAGTTTTCTTTGAATTGTTGAATATAGCTCATGTATATTTTTTGCTGCTTTATTTACAAACGCAAAGTTTTGAATTTTGATGATATTTTATTCATTCTTGGCTTGGAAGAAAATTTACATAATGATACAGGATATTAATGATACATTACACATCTTTAAAACAATATGTAAGGAATGACATATGAAAATGAAATAAATTTCCTGATTAAAGAAAACTTCAAGCAACTGTTTTTTTTTTAATTAATAACTACTACTTTTCCTAAACGATGTATAGATAAACGATTTGTTAATAGGTTGGTTTAAGGAGTCATTTGGTACATTCAGCTTTCACAATTAGTCCTGGTGGTTCACTTGATTTAATTCGAAGATGTGATGCACTTTCATGTGAAGGTCACTGCATATGTGCTCCACAGGATCAACAATGTCCTTACTCTGCTTCACTTGGAAGTTGCAATGATATAACATCAAGTAAGTTATCCTCAAATCAATGTTAAGTATATTATTTTTGTTCATATCAGTATTGAATATTGTATAAAACAATATAGTATTTTAAGACATAATTGGTTTTACTTTTCTACCAAAACACTGTTAAAAGATAACAAAGATGTCAGCACTTGCATATTGACAAGTTGTATTTTTGTAATACATTAGTATTCGTAGGAACGAAAGATCACACCGACTTGTTTTAAGGTTGATGCTATTTTATCTTTTGCTTTCTCTCCATTTGATTAAAAAAATTGCAATGTCTAAGTTTTACCCTTTGTTATACATTTATCATAATCTGACGTTTGGTTACTTTGTATTTGAAGCTGTCTTTAGTGATACTCATTACAGTTTATTGCTGGTCAGAGATACTAATGGATATTTTGAAAGTGACCAGGCTGTAACAGCATCAAATAATGTTTTAAGAGGAATGTGGATACTTTCACAGGTTCTGACTTATAAGCCGTTGTGGTATGCATTAAATAATGAATATTTTACAAGTTCTAAACTTATTGTGAAATTTTACCTCTTTATTTCTGAATTGAAGGCATGTTAATCAATTATAAAACGTTCATATTAGATGTGTAATGTAAAATATTTACGAACAGTGAAATACGATAATTGTCAATTTTGTGACAGAGACTTAAAGTGGTTGAAAACTATTAAATGTGTTAACACTATATAAGTTTAACGATCAACATCACGAATTAGTTGACTGATACTATATATCTGTGTTTTCACAGTCTTTATTCTATAGATACAAAGTCGTCTAATCAGCAATGTAATTGATCTTTGCTTATTAGCGATTGTGAAATCTTGAATGAGTGTGAAATCGCATGGCAGGTGATCCATGCATGGCAAGTGATGCTTTTCCTGTCAACACATCCAGCCTCTCTGTTTTTGGAGTTCATGTGGTACCCTCAGTTTTTTCTTTGTTTTCCCAATCGTTTTATGAGATTTAAACATCGATGGAGTACTTTTGCTTGTATACATTGATTTAAAAAATCCGGTGGAACATACCAAACTGAGAGTCAAAACCCATAAGTTGAAAGACCGAAAGAATCATGGCAAAAAAAAAACGACAAAAAGACAAACAACTGTCTACAAAACACTTCATAATGCATGCAGTAGCAACTAAGCAACACGAAACCCACCAATGACACTCTGAACTATAAACTTCGAAGAAGGATTCCTACTGAAATGTGTTGAGTGGTCGACTTTAACAATTGTCCAGAAAAATTCTCTTTTAAGGGTTTGTCTGATAGGTTGTGTGTATAACACATATTGAAATGATCTTGTGAACACAATCAACTTCGTTCTTTAGTTGGCCTTTTAAACTATTTTGATGAGAGCGTCACTGATGAGTTTTTTTTTGTTGACGAAACGCGCGTCTGGCGTACAAAATTTCAATCCCTGGTATCTGCGATGAGTTTATTTGTGTACTCAATAAAATGTCTTCCGCATACACAATAAAAACAAATTAGGCGGGAACACATGAATGAAACTTTCAATTTTCAACAGATATGGAAGTTTTTTAATCAATATAGGTATGAATGGAGTGTCGGAAGTTCGGAATTCAGCACGCCTCTTGGCATATATGATATACAAGAGGAGAAGGTTTGGCAAGATGCCGGGCAATTGCATGATGCTATTTATACCATTGAACAAGGTGATTGTTACATATTATAATATACACGAAATGAAAATTTTGATAAAAGTCGAAGGCACACTCTTAATAAAAGACTCGATTATGGTAGATTTGATTGGTGGAAACCCCATAAATGTTTGGATCAGGGCTTTTTAAACAAGCCGAAATACCGCGTTATATCTGGAAATGTCAGCGAATATCACAGAATTTGATATATTTAGTAGTAAAATTATAACACAAAACGGTAATAGATTATGAATTAAAAAGATTTTATTAATATTGCAATGACAATCAGAAATTAAGCATTACATGGCCCGCACTGTCAAAAAATATACGAAAAGACAGAAACAACATCGGACGACTTCATGATTTTTTACCGTTGTGGAATATCTGTGTTTCGGATTACCAAGGAAATCTTTTAATTGCCGCAGCCATAACTCCTTCCTCTTTTTCTCAATTGTGATTTGACCTTATAAAGACTAATCAAGAAATTTGTGCATACCAGGAGCCACACGACGGTTGCCACATGTTTAGCATGATTTGGTGCCTTTTCCAGTTCACCTGAGGTCACCACCGTTTTTTGATTTATGAATTTGTATTGTTTATTTGGTAATTTCTTCCTCTTACAAAATGTATATACTCTACTTTTTTTTTATCTATTTTTATCAATAGGTGGAGAGTACTTACACAACACATTGTCATATGCTGTATTTGTAAGGGTTTGGTATTCAGTCAACACTTATGCTATATTTAAGTCAAATGGAATATATGTAATGACTCAGGCTCCAGTGGTAGCGTCTGTAAGAGGCAGATCTGTAAGTTTATTTATATTATAATTCAGTCGGGAAAAGGTCAATAACTACATTATGTCTTAGAATATATCTTGTTAATTAAAATACTTGATCTCAAGGTGGCATCACCTTATTTTATTCAAGCATTAACAATTTTAAAACTGAGGGTACACAGGTTCACGGTCATTACAATTAGCCTTGTAGTTGAATAAAATATGAGGTGTAAGGCATTTTTTCTTTTTATATCATTTCAAAAAACCAATATTTCAACAAGGTTAATTCGAGTTTTATTTTATTCAAAATAACACTTCATTTTGATCGAATATGCTATGTTCAAAAATTAACGTAGAAACTACTTTAATCAAAAGCAGAGAGTCGATAGTGTAAAGATCCAAAGATGATGGGAAGTAGATCTGTATTACCATTTTGTTTTTGATTTGGAAATAAATGTTTAAATACACATCCACGTTCATTTTCTATATAGAGATTACTCTATCTATATGTAACATTATACTTACTTATTAAAAGGTTAATTCCTAATTATCTTACTGCATGTCGATACTTTTATTTTGGCATTGCACAAGTAATGTCTTCGTTGACTGTCCATGGCGTTAAAACACTAAATCCCTGGGATGTGTTTTAATTGATTTTAGTCTCTGATGCATGATTTTTTATTATTAATTGTTTTTGGCTTTTAACTAGCTTACAGTAACTGCAAGTACTCTCAAATCGTACTTTCGTGTTAATTCGACCTGTTGATACAACTTGTAATGCATTTTTGTTATTTATTGTTTACTTATTTATATATCTCGTCTCACTATTTATGATATTTCCACCTTTGATAAGTGTTTGGTATGACGATAAATTTTCACTTCTGTTCTCGTACTATGAACAACAAAATTATTTATTTTGTAATATATATTTCCGTACTCCATTGTATACCTTACTACAAAATTATTTTTATTTACCTGTGTACGTTATTTTCTTTTGGCGATATTTTGTCCGCGGTTATGATTGTCTTTCTGATATTGTTCTACATCTAATCCCCTTGTTTTATTAATTTTATATTTACATTATGTCATAGATCAAATTTATTCGTTCAGTGTATGTTCACTTGTTTTTGTTAATATGTCTTTTAATAGAGTTAAGCCATTTCAATTGATATTTTATAGTGTGTCTTTCTATGTTGTGATGTTACACTATTGTTTTAGGTTGGGCGAAGGTTGACGCCTATTAAAACGTTAAAACCCACTGCATTTGTTTGCACCTGTCCTAAGTCAGGAACCTGATGTTCTGTGGTTGTCGTTTGTTGATGTGGTTCATAAGTGTTTCTCGTTTATAGTTTTTTTATATAGATTAGACCGTTGGTTTTCCGGTTTGAATGGTTTTACACTAGTCATTTTTGGGGCCCTTTATAGCTTGCTGTTCGGTGGTAGCCTTTTTGTCTTTTCGTCATTTTGTGTTTAATTACTCGAAAGAAAACAGTTTTGTACCATTCTTATTTTCTGGTTAATAGACTAAATAGTGGCAAACTTGATGTTGTTGTTGTAACATCTAGATAAATTATCTCACTCGCCATAAGTACACACTTTTCTTTAAAGGTTGTCACTCTTGAAAAATTAACAGACATTTTGCACTCTTTTAATTCGGCCTTTGAACAATCCACAAAAAGACTGCATGAATTAACAAAAATATATGACATAACAACAGGACCAAAAAAATCACTTACAGCTACATCCTCTAACAAAATAAACCTACAAATAAGACAAACAACAACTAATAATACATGATTCAGATAGCAACACATGATACTAGCACTAATGTGTTGGGTTTAAATCAGTTTAATATCTTTGATGAGTTTTACAACCACTGAGTTGATGCTATTGCTGGTGGAAGTCTGTACTCGCATACAATATCCTTGATACGTTATTTTCTATAAAATTATAAAGTTATTCAAAACAAAACGAGTTTTCTACTCCCAGAATAGATAACATTTGCCGTATTTTGCACAGCGTTTCGGGATTGTGGTCATGCTCTTCAACTTTTTTTTATTTGGCCTTCCAATTGATTTGTTAGTGTGCCATTGATGAGTGTTGTGTAGACAAAACGTCTTGCGTACTAAAATTTAAGCCTGATATCTTTCAGGAATTTTTAATACTCTAGTATATTTAACATATTTTTTAAGGTGATGCAATACCAATATGCTTATGCAAACAATCATCAATAAGTTATAAATTCTGTGTCACGTTTTAGCTTTTAATTGGTAAAAAATGTATGTATACGATAAATAAGTTATCCAAATTGGTTGGTCCCATATATTCTCAGGTTGATGGTTAGTTCAATCACGTCTATTTAACTTAATAATTTTGAAATTTAATGGATATGTACATATATATAAGAACAAATATAGATAGAATGTATGATGTTCTAGGTGTCGTTATAAAATAAAGTTGTGATATTGCCAACGAAAAAAATATCCAAGTCTGTTTTGGTCCGAATTGTAACTTTTTTTACGATTGTTTTATATTCAGGTGATAGAGCGAGTACAAGGGACTACATTCAAGGATCATGATTTCATGAAAATGGGACGCCCAATAACGTTTGATTGGAACGGCAAATTTCTTGAAGCTGAGGAGACTATCGAAAAGTATCGATTGTATCTGAGTACTTTTCCAGGAGGTATGTTGTTACTTATACAGGAATAAAAGAAAGATTTCATAAATTACCATTCTGGAAAACACATAATTTGATGTAGCATCTGTGGATGAATGATTTCAATAACAGTATTGTATACAGTGTCGTGTAGAAGATATTCGATATAGGAATATTTTTTTTAAAAAGAGAAATGCTTTTTGAAAAAGACTTTACATCCCATCAAATGTAAACAATTTTATTATATAATGTAAAACTCTTTTAAAATTAGATCGAGAATAAATACGACATAAAAAGGAGAAAGATTTCTAGTTGGCAAATGAAATCAATAATTGAAGAAATTGACAAAAATAACATTTCCGGTAAAAATATACTCCTTTGACGTCCTCAAAACCACCTCGTGTAAAATCTGAAACAACTTTCGCATAAAACATAGTATGTTTTCTCCATGTATACCAATGATATGCTTTCTATATCAGGTTTCCTTATATTATATTAAGAAGTTTTTGTTCCTTCTTAAAAACATATCTTAAAAAATGTTCAAGCTTTGAAATTCTCGAATTATTTATCCAATACAAATTATTTCAGCATTAAGCAATAAATAAACAATAAAACTAAATTTCTATTTTAGGACATGATATCATGAAGGTAAACGAAGTGATTCCAGGAAAAGAAAGTGGCTACAATATGTCTAGAATCATTCTTACACCAGGGGTTATCCATTATGCTAATGTTATAGCATACAATTATGCAGGAGCCCATACTACATCATCCTCGGATGGGTTCATGATTGACTACAATCATCCTACTGCAGGAATTGTTTATGATGGCCAAGGTAATGATATCCATATAATTAAATTTATGTAAGACACATTTTAATTTTGGTGCTTTCCTGTCGTGTTGGAAATTAAAAAAAATAATACTTTACAAAATTGGTGCGTCCGTAAAAAGAAAAGAAACATTTTCTAATAATCAAAAATGAAAACAACACGTTATTAATTTCATGCCTTCGAAGCGCTTTTCATGATTTGCCTTCATCAGGAATGATCAAAGCCGAATATTTGAAAGCCGAGAATGTATAAGAACCGAAACAATTGAAGAGCTATATTATCAAAAGAGTACTTAAAAATAGCCAAATCCATCTAAGGTCAACTTAGCCTGAGGGAGTTTGAACCTTCGTTCCATAATAATTTTCTGCATTCATAACTGAGAATTTAAAATATATATATATAGTATAAACCATTCCAGTGTCGAAGCAATGAATTCTTAATGAATGACTCTCTCTGGAACAAGCAGTCTACCAGCAGCGGTGTCAATCAAGTGATAGAAATTGAAAATAAGACGTATTTTGCGTCCGCAGCGCTTTTCTTGATCAACTTCCATTAGAAATTGTAAAACAACGTCAACATCATGTATATTGAAACGGTTTGTCAGTCTTATTTACTATATCAAAAGAGATTTAACAAAAACATATTTTCCTTCTTTATTTTAACTCTTGATAAGTAAGACTTGTAAAAGCACTGTTTATGTGTACGATTTGTGAATCAATTTCAAAGGTAAAAATGACCTTGAGTACCAGAATTCCTCAGATGTGGTAGCAGCCCATTGGCACGGGTTTATCGATACAGAATCTGGTATAACATCATATCTATGGTGTGTTGGATTAACTAATTTTATTGGTAACAGTCCCACAAAGACGGAATGCTCAATCCTGAGTTGGACGAACGTAGGACTTCATGTATCAGCTTCGAGAAATTTGACATCTGATATTCCTTCAGGTGAGACTTGTTTCTTTTATAGTTTGTAAATTAGTTTGAAAGCCACATTCAACTATTGTTTTTTTTAATCGACAGCTGATTGATCAAGTCTACTTAAAAAGAAAGATAATTTAACACAACGATGTTTTTCTTGATATCACATACAGGCTTGGATAATATTAGTATCAACGAATAATTCATACACGAACAAAAATACTTATGACAATTTTTCTGCAAAATATAGAAGAATCAAAATATGCTACATTATGTCTGACTGGTATATATTTTTATTTAAATTGTAAAATTAAATGAACAAAGAAACCAAAAAAATCTAAGGCAATGTTTCGACTTCATCAGGACTCTTGCAATTTTTATTAGTTTATATCTTTACATTTATTATTACATCAAAATGCAATTGAAAAGGCCAACACAACTTTCTTAGTTAGAAATAGTTTATCAAATCCTAACGACCCGATTCATGGTTCATATTTTCCCTTAAATCTCCTTTGAAATGCATATTACGCAAATGTAACGCAGATTGAACTATCATTGAACTATTTCTAGAACAATGTTGGTGGAATTATTTAACAGACTTAGTAATATGCTGGTGGTCCAATTGACTGCTATTTTTTGTTAATGATGTCAACTATATTTTTACATGAAATCAACTATAAATCATGTTTTGAGAAATAATAATTATAAATTTATGATATTTCAGGAACAAAAATATATCATAAAGTATACTCTGTTGATGGTGTTGGTTGGACATCTCCGACCGTAGTATCCGATGGTGTTACTGTAGACACAACTCCACCGGTACCACACAAGTTCGTTCTTTTAGGCATTAACTTCGTTTCCAACCCATCTTTTGAAATAACTGGCGGGAATGAAGTTCCCTGGCTTAATATCAGTTCAACAGATATTTGCAACATGGACTTTACCTACCATCCATTGATGTGGTATATTGAAACTTATTCATGTATGGCCGTTATTTCTTCTAATGTTAATTTAGCAAAGGACGGTGGAAAATTCTTATATATTAGAGGTAGTATTACACAGAAAGTGGACAATATTACAGAAGGGAAGACGTATCAAGTGACGTTTTACTCGAGCCATTTGTCTTTCGTAGATTCTTCCTTAGCCAACAAGGAAGGGTTTATACAGTTGAACAACGAAAAACACGTGTTTCTTATTTACACTAAAAGTTATCGTCAAGATAGCAATGGTGATGTTGACGATCGAGAAGAGCTTTCCTGGCATAGTCATACGTTTTATTTCACGGCTGATATAAATGAAGCGAATATAACGATTGGCAGTATAGATCTGACGACAGGAATATTTCTGGATGAAATAACTGTACAGGAAGTGAACGTTAGCACGGAAAATATAAGTGGTCATGTTTTAGGCCATGTTGTTTACTTACACGATTGGAGTTCCATCCATGGAGCTTGGAGTTTTACAGACCCGGAATCATCAATTATTGATTACAAATGGTCTATAGGTAAACACATTTACAAAGAAAATGAACCTTAAAAAATGAAAAATACAAAAGTATTTAAAGCGAAAGTCTTATAATGTGAAATGAGAAAAGATAAGAAATAAAGTATTCAATAATAATCAGTATAAATATTGAGGTGAACATTATTTTAATGTTGTTTCATTGTCACAGTAAATCACACAAGGGGCAAATAATATACGTCAGTTTCAAGACGATAACATGTTAATGATATATGTATATATCGTCTTTGTACTAGACAACCATACCGATTCTGGTCTTTACGTGCTAGTCTACAAGGTCTGAAGAAAGGAATATTATCTTACCTAGACTTATTATTTTGACTCTAATGACCAGCTATGGTTCTTACTCCGAAATGCTGCGTTCTTGACGCAGGAACATAAATTTTTTTTTAAGATAACCAAGTAGTCAGGGATCAAATCCTCGACTTCCAGCACTCAATGCAAGCAGACTACCACGAGGCGGAGGTAGTTAGTAGAGAAAGTGAAACGCAGTACCAAAATATATGTAAAAGATAATTAGGAGGGGACCAATTTAAGTAATAAAGATTTGATTGAGATTCTGCTTTTTTACAGACGCATCATTTCATCTCTGTCGATTCAAACCGAATCAGAATTGTTAAAAAAGCAGTTTTAAATTATTGAGAGAGGTGTATGTTTATTTTTCAAAAGATAAATGCAACCTTTACATTTAGTATAACATATCTCTGTTCAAACCCTGCAACTATACTTCTCTGGGAGTTATATTTCAAATAATATTTAATAGATACTGAAATCAAACCGTTTGAATATATACAAGAAAGAATATGACTGTAAATTGCAGGACAAGTTTTTCGATATCAAATTAACTGGGCCATTTTAAAATATGGTGCTGGCAAAATTTCGTTAGCTTTGTTTACGATATCTCTAGATTCCCTTTACTATTGTCCTCAGTTGCAATTAATTGCACAGGAAAACTTACGTTTTTCTATATACAACTGGTAATGAATAGTTGATAACTTGATGCTGCAGCCATTTTAACTATTAATTTTATGTTTTGATAGGCTATTCAGAAGGAGGCACACAAATACAACCTTTTAGAAGTGCTGGACTGATGAATTTCGGCATCAATAATAATGTCACGCTTGTACACAACACAAATATTTACATAACAACCGTTGCAATGAATGCTGCTGGTTTAAGAGCAGTGTCGTTTTCTAATCCAGTGTTTGTAGATCTTACACCACCTGAAATTAACTATGTATATGATGGGAGAGGTAGGTTTGACAGTTTTACAAAGGAAGAATTGAAGGACGAAATTTTCTACGAGAATGCACTTTAAGTGAAATCAAAGCTTTCGAATAAAAAGGAGAGTGAACCTAATCAATGGAACAAACATATATTTATGAAATAAAGTTGGTCTTCAATTAAACGCGAATAAAATTAAGGCAGTATACTGTATCACTGTTTGACGTAAAGAAAATTTTATAATTTACAGAAACATGTATGACTATATTGCGGAAAAAAGAACGTGGAAAATGATTTGTTTCATGCATAAAAGTTCTAAATTAATATTTTAATGTTCAAAGCTATTTACATAATTCCAGCACGCCACTCAAAGCACAGTTTATGATTCGCTATTCAAAGACTTTTTGTTTTTATACAATGGATTTTGTGATACTGTCGTTCGCATGTTTGTCCATCGTTCTTCCTGGTATGCTTTTCGTTTTAATCTATTTCAAACTTTCACATTCGGGCATATATTAATTGTATATTGATTCTTATATGTTTGCAAACATAGAAATATATTATAGACATCGACCAATCAGCTGTTGCTTAAAGTCTTATAAATAATTATATCCTGAGTTATAACATAAGTAAATGAACGGATGTCAATAATTTACCAAAGTTTATTTGAATTATTGTCACTGAGTCGTTAGTATTATGTGTACTGTTTTGTGAATCATAAGGTTGGCTTTTCTCTTTATTTTTACTTCGTCATAACATTGTTTGACCTTGTTTGACATATGATTGGTATTGCCCTTTGTATCTTATAAATGTTGACAGACCATACAAAAGCGTTTTTTCTCTTTTTGAAGTCGTGTTGTTGGACCCTTTCTTAAGGTTCAGTAGTGAACTGATCAAAATTAAAAAAAAATATTTTGGTCTAAGTAAACTGCAATGCTTTTGTGTATTATTTTACGTGGAATTGCATATGCCATAAGTAATATACAAAGGACTTTCCATGACAGTAGATATAATAAAACGGTATCTAAATATGTAAGCATTATGAAAAGCATTTATCTAAAAAATATCTATAAACTATATACAATCGTTTAGGAAAATTAAAATATTTGATTTTGTTAATTGATATATTTTACAATTTAGAAAGAATTTTCCTTTCGCATGTAATATAATTGATTTGTTGATAGTTGGTTGCTAAAAGTCCAGTGGCAAATATGTCAGGCATGCTCAGGACGAATAAGATATTTGAAGTTATATTGAAGATAGCGAATCATGTATGTTAAAAACTGTATTTTGTATTATTATCACAGGAGAAGATGAGGATGCATGGACAATAAATGAAGTTGCTGCTAATTGGGCATTTCAAGATGCAGAATCCGGAATAAAGCACTGTGAATGGGCTATAGGTAATTTCAATAAATGCATAGAATACTCAAATGATACATTTGATCCAATTGACGACGGTGGTGCATCTGTGAAGAAGCTTCGTGTTTTGCAAGTATAGATGGTGGAAAATTGACAAATTTCAAAAAGAAACTCAAGTAGTTCAATATATTAATAGCTACAACAGATTCGTTCTTGTTCTTAGGAGATTCCGGGAATAAAATAACAAACAAAAAAGACAAGATCCCTCCCTCTACTCCAACATAAAACAATAAAAATTCCAAATATACTAAAAAAAAAAAAGAAAAAACAAAATAAACTATTCATTAAATTATACAGATTATGTGACACTCAATAAAGGCAACAGTAGTATACCGCTGTTCAATAATCATAATTCGATTAAGCAAAAACAAATCCGGGTAACAAACTAAAAACGAGGAAAACACCTCAACTATATAAGTGCAAAACAACGGAACAAAAGAAACACTGAACTACAACAAAAGCAAACGCCAACATACATAGAGACGGACTGTAGATAACAACTGCCATATTCCTGACTTGGTACAGAACGTATATTAAGAAAAAATGTAATAACACTACAAAATTGACGATTTAACGAAATGATAAAATTATCCATCCACTAATAGCGCGTCATATACCTTTTTTTTTATAACAGTTTCAATATAACCATGAATTGAACCAGCATTTAAAGGAATTAACAGACTCTAATGATACTATCAAAAATATATTAATTCTAGGTTGTAATCAAACCATTAGTTTTAAGTGAACTAAACCAGAGGGCGAGTATTATAAATAGTATGCATCAGTTTAGTAGGTTAGCATAGGGGTATATATTGATTCTGAAACATAGTGCTTTAATACGGACTCTGTTGCTGATTTCACTAATTTAGTTAAGCCTTTTCAATGTGAATTAGTACTGTAAATTTACAGAAATTATTGCGAGGTTTTTATAAATGGGAATAATGCGACTGGGTGAGTATCGCAGTAATAAAAACTCGCATTTTAATTCGATACATATATATAACTGAATGCCGATTTTCCTGAATCGCAATAATTAATAACGCACTTTTGTCCATTCTTCAAAAATCGCAAGCATAAAAGCACGAAATAATTTCTGAATTTACAGTATTAATGCCGAATTGATTGATAAAAGTTAATTTTAAGTTTACTTGTGAAAAAATATTCAGATATTTATCACTTTGTCCATTTATAGCATTAACAGTGAATATTTAGAAAAGGGAAAAAATATATTAAAATAATGTTATTTGTGTATTAGATGCTTTATAGAATTTATTTTCGAATGATTTAATTAAATAAAAACAAAGCAGCCGGGAGAAATTACATTAGAAATTAAAGTGTAATATTTAATTATACTTTATTGTTTTCAAATATTTTAGGATATTCACCCGAGTCGACTGATCTACTACCGTATACAGATGTGACAACGAATACAGCGTATATGGACTTCCCCTACAGCGTATTAGAAAACCATACAATTTACACTACGCTACATTGTGAGAACAATGCTGGTTTGTTGTCGTCTAAGTCTTCGGATGGCGTTAGAATATCGAACAGGCCTCCATTGTCAAATTCAGCAGTGGTAGAGATTATACCACTATCTAGTACTGAGTTCAGTGCTGAGGAAGGATTCCTAGGAGTCTCTGATAATGCCAGATTAAAATGGTCTGGATACACAGACAGCATTGGAATAGAAACATATGATGTAAGTTTCATTAAGATAGAGTTTCACATTTAATCTTATGGAAACTGATACTGTCACGTACTGTGTGGTGGCCGTAGAAAGTTTGCCCGTGCTTGAGGTGTATACTCTTCTTTATTTTAAAAGTTATGGTGTATTCATTCTCGAGATAACTTCACTCATGTGTGCCACAACATTCCTATCCATGTTAAATTTTCACTTTCTAACATTTATTGAGGGGATCAATATACCGTTATTTACACCGTACTGGTTACAGGAACTATGGTGATACCAAACTAGGTTCTATCTGAGAAACATGCAATATATGCCCTCAATTTTAGAATTCATTCATTTATTTTTGTAGTATTCAAAATTATCAGTCAAGATGTGTTCTACAAGTTTCACCAGTCCTTCACCTTTCATCTGATACCTAAATTACTAAAATATATTCTACGTAGTTTGATATTTACACCTATGCGTAGATACTATTTTGTTTTAATAAAATTATGTACTACTTTCCAGTATGTTCTTTCTGACCGGGCCCGATTTGGTGGTGTTGCATCTTACAAAGTATATCTGAATCATTTTGCAAGGAATTCCGCTCAAACCGGTGCTACCCGTACGAAATTATAAGGCGTATTACGCCTGGAAACCTGGTGTAAACCAGGCGTAAGTGGTAGTTACGTGTCCAGATCCAGGCGTAATGGAGCAGGAAACGTAAATTTGTAGCATTTACAGGCGTAGAAAAAAGTGGTAAACCTGGCGTAAATTGAAATAAGCCAGGCGTAAATTTTCCTACGGGAGTAAAACTGTTGGAAGGGCGTCAATCATAATACCCATAATGCTTCAAATTTGTTTAAAGGATCATGGGAAATTTTTTCAAAATTTGGCTCTCTGGTATTAGCTTGCAAGAGTTGGACATATGGCAGCTTGATATATATTCAGGGGAAATTAGCTTTTTTTTGTGCTTTTTGAAAGAATTTGAAATTGGAATTATGGAATCAAATTGATGAATGAAAATTGTGAAATGAAAGGAAAGTAGTATACATGGTCATGGTAAATAATAATTATGTGAGTAACTAAGTTATTAATTTTTATTTTTTTACCATAAATTTCAAATTCTGGAAACCCTCATCCTTGAATAATAACATCAAATCTTTCACAAGTTAAATTACAGTATTATCATTGATTTTTTTAGTTTAAATGACATTAATTTTCAAAACAACATGATAGTCAAAATGCTAGTTTTATTTCAAGAAAAATTAATTGTTATAATTTTTATTTAAACTTAAACTTAATTGATCCAGTGTCTGTCTAATATGTATTTACTTATATAGCTTCTTCAATGGTTAATATTTCAAGTTTTATGTCAAACAGCGAGAACTTTAAGCAACAGTATATCAAATACACAAAGTACACAGCTAGGGTAATACACTGATTTAAATTAAGTGTAGTATTATGTAAGGACATTACGCCTGGTTTATTTATTGACCAAGTGTACTCATTTGCATATTACGCCTGGTTTTCTGTCAACCAGGCGTACTCAATTAAATATTACGCATGATTTTACGCCTGGTTTCCGCCTCAGTTACGCTTGGTTTCCGCCTGGTTTCGGCCTGGTTTCGGCCTGGACATGCATTCCTTAAACACTGCAATGACTCCAGGATAAAGTATGATTTCTACGCCTGGTTTCCGTGTCATTTTCAGGCGTCACATTTCGTACAGGTAAGGGCTGTCTTAACCTTGCAGTGAGGTGAGAGTTATTTTTTTTCTCCGTGCTGAAGGCCTCGCTGTGACTTTTAGATGAAGATCAGCAATAAAAGCGCTGTTCCTTTGCATTTTGTATGTTTTCTACTGTGCATGCACTGATTTTTTGTCATTGATAGATACCCCATGTCCTTTGTTTTCTACACTTAATATCATTTGTGTTTCGAGTCCTTTGAATTTCTATTGATCGCAATACATGAAGTACCAATTTCGATTTAATGTATGAACTGCCCTGATTGACCTGGGGTCATTCGGGAGAAATCGCGTCTTGGAACATTGTTAAGATATTTGTTTCGTGACGTAAATTTTTTCCGGGAGAAAACACCTTTAGAAAGATCATGTATGGTCATTTAAAGTAATACAAGGACTTGGTTAATTTGTATAAGCTTATTGTTATAAATATTTTGACATTCCATTCTTTAATGACCATTAGTTCATTGTTTTTTTACGATTTTTGATTACTGTTTCAGTTTTAGATTTTTACTTTAACACTATTTATTACATGTACTACAGTTTAGTATTTTATCATACAACACCAATGACCTTAAATTACCATGTAAAAACCATATTTTCTTTTTTTTAATGTAAAATTATCGAAAATTTTGCATGAATCTGAATATTAAATGGGACCCAATTAGATGCTGGCCTAGAAATCTATTATTGCTAGATAACTTAAATGCAACTGTTACAGTAGTCTTAGTACAACATACTGACTCGTTTATTGCAGGTCGAATTTGGTACCAATAAAGAAAAAATGTTCTTCCCAAAAAGTCAAGAAATTCTGTACAGTCACTTTACAAAATTATCACTGGCAGATGAGCAGCAACAATTTGCCATAAGGGCAATAAATACGCTATTCCTGAAGTCAGCAATTGTTCAGAAAAACATTTCAATATTTACACAGAACCCTCAGGTTGAAAGTAAGTAGCTTATTTTTTAATCGAACAATATATATGCAGTCATGATATGTTTTTAATTCCAAAATCAAATATAAATTGAATAACCAAAGTGTCAATAATATAATAAACTGTTAACAGAGAGATATGTCTCGCCTTTTTGTTATTTTGATAATGCAAATGTTGAAATTAAAATAGCAATACTTTAACATGTAAGTTATGCACTGAAAAGTACAGAGCTAAACAATATCCACGAAAATGAGCTAATGCTAATACAACTGCAAACCAAGTACCATTGACTTATCATAAGTTGTTCCCTTTTAACAAATCTAAACACAAACATTAACTTGTAAACTATGTAAAAGTTTCAAAGTGAATGAACCATGATAAGGGGGCGGGGCTATATAATCTCCATGGAAATGAGACTTGCAAATGCCAATACATTTGCATACCAACTATCAACGACTACAATTAGTGTTTCATCTTAAACTGATCTAATCACAAACTTATACATGTAAAACTGAGCAAAAGTTTCAGTCAATAGACCATGACTGAGGGGTAAGGACCAAATATTCTCCATTGAAATGAGATGTGCAATGCTTATATAACTGCATACCAATTATCATTGACCTACCACTAATGGTTCCCCTTAAACTGACCTAATCACAAACTTATACATGTTAAGTAAGCAAAAGTCAATAGACCATGACTGAGGGGACGGGGCCAAATAATCTCCATGGAAATGAAATATTCCAATGCTTACTGTACACCATATATCATTGACCAATAACTAATGGTTCCCCATTAACTGACCTAATCACAAACTAAAACATGTAAACTAAGCAAAGGTTTCATAGTCAATAGACCATGACTGAGGGGTTTGGGCCATAAAATCTCCATGAAAATGAGATATGCCAATGCTAATACAACTGAATACCAAATATCATTGACCTACCAATCGTGGTTCACCATAACTAGACATAATCACAAACTAATACATTGTTGACGCCGCCGCCGGAAACAGCATACCTATGTCTCGCATTTTGACTCCGTCAAGGCGAGACAAAAATGAGGAGATGTGGGTTGATGGCCAATGAGATAACTATCAACCAGAGTCAAAATGAAGTGGTAGTAAGCAGTTATAGGCCAGTGTATGGCCTTCAACAATGAGAAAACCCCATACCGTATAGACGATTTAAAGTTTTCATGATATTAGTCTTTCTACGTGTTTGATATTTTCTTTATATAACTTTGTATTACCTGTACAGGTACTCCATTGACTCTGTCTTGGGTAAACAATGAAGTAGTAGTTTCGTGGAATGGAATTTTTAATTCAGACAGTGATTTATATTACGAAGTGTCTGCGGGAACTACAGGAAGTAGTGTCAATATTCTTCAATGGCAATTTACCAACCAGACTAGTATTACATTTGGGATTCCTGCGACAGTTACAACAACAACCGGACTGAATGTCTTCCTAACAGTAGGAGCAGTATCTGTTGGAGGAGAATATATAATCAAAACGGGGAAAATTATTCTCCCATAAGCACTACGACCAAAAGACAAATATTAGATATAATCACGTATTTCATTGTAAAACCGTCCAGCATGTAGCATAGCTGTAAAATTTCTTTTTAGTTAATCTGTTGTCTTTGAAATCTTAATAAAATCAATATCATTCAAAAATATCATAAAGAATACTTACTTATGGATTCGTTCTTTTTTTACTGCATTATTAGTGATAATATTTTTCTTGTATATATATTTGAAGGAGTTGTTTTTTTAAAGGAATGAACGCGTAATATAATTACTCAATAAACATAAACTCGTGGTCAACAATACTGACTTAAATATGTACTTTTAATCCCATAAACTTAAGCGTTACAGGGTTGAAGGGATAAAACAAAATACACGTCTGTCTGTTCACTTTTTGCGGTAAAGGCGGTCTCATCTTTTTGAATTTTGCACAGTAATTCAGCGCTTTACTCAAATTCAACACAGCTATTGAAGACTGTTGGTTAAGAGAAAAAAAAAGTATTTAAAAAAATAGGAACTCCAAGGTAAAATAAAAAAAGGGGAAGACAATAAAACCAGACAAAATCAAACGTTCGACTCGATCAACCAACAGAACGAAAGAATAAACTGTCATATTCGTGACTTGGTACAATGTCTGAAGACCAACCGTGACATATGCTTTAAACAAAAAAAAAAACAATTTTTCAAAACGTGCTGGAAATAGTAATCGGGTGCAAAGACGAGCATTCAGTTGTCTGTATACGTATGTGAGTACAACACAACGCATGACTTGTTAAAACTACTTTTAATCACTTTCTGATGAGTGTAAAATATTAAAGGATAAAAAATGTTGGAGGACACAAAAATCGGTAAAAACTACGTTTGTACAAACGTAGAACAAGTTTTGGATATCTTTTTTTCGCATATATCTTTCCAAATTGCAAGTGTATATTTCAAATTATCCTTTATGTCGTGTTCTGTTAAATAGCATCCGTTATATTCAGAATCATTCCCCCAGTTTTTGCCAGTAAGCGATTCTTGTAGATACATCGAAAGCAACAATTAAATCAGTTTCTTTTTACTGCTTCCGCGTTGATACAATAGTTAGTCCAAAAAGGTAGCATCCACATGAAGTCAATCTTATTTTTTATTATGACTCATTAATAGTTACACGACAGGTGACATTCGTTGAGCAGAAACAATTGACCATTATGAGCTGAGTTCACTTCCGGTTTTTGGTAGGGTTTGTGTTGCTCAAATTCTAGATCTATGTATAGTGTTTGCAGACTTTTGGTTGTATTTTGACCATGCACGGTGTAGTATGCTTTTTCTACGATTTACGATTTTTTATTTCACCTTGGTATATTCTCTCCCTTTTAATAAAATTCTCAGCTGATAATTATGTTTTGAATTGTACAAAGGCTAATATTGTAACTAAGAAAAATATAACTTTACATTCTCAAGCTTATTAATATATAGATTTTCTTGTTAAATATCTTATAGTTGAAAATAGGGAGGCGAAATATACCTTGAACGGATATTCAAACTCATAAATCGAAAAAAAATCTGCCATGGCAAAAACCGAAAAACGATAAACAATAGTACAAAAAACACAACATAGAAAACTAAAAACTGAGCAACACGAACCGGAGGTGATCTCAGGTGCTCCAGGGTAAGCAGATCCTGCTCAACATGTGGCGCCCCTCGTGTTGCTCGTATAAGTACAAACCCGGTGATAAGTCTAATTCAGTATATAGGTCACATTCGAGAAAAAGAGGATGGGTTTGTGGTTACGACAATTGGAACATATCAGTCGTCATCTGTGAAACCGATATTCTATAATGGTCAAACAATTCGTGATAGCGTCCGTAAAATTTTCGAAGGGATGATTTCATTTTTACCACTTGAAACTCATGATTTAATAGCTTCCTTGTAAGCAGCAGCCTTTTGTCAAAGCAGTAAAGGCACGCATCTTTGACTTCACTTCTTTTGACTCCAAGTATTCCTGATGCAATTTAATCAGACTAAGTAATGGACTAAAGGTACTAAATTCTGAATGTTTTAAGAACAAACAAACAAATATTTACCTTTTACCGCAAAAGTGCATACTGAAGAGGAAATTTAAGTTCATTTCAGCCTTTGAATAAAAGAATGAATTATTTACCTGCCAAATTTACTTGACTATGCTTATGAGGTTTTCAATGAAGGGTTAAAACAGTTAAAACAGACATAGGAATACGCTATAACTTTCTGTGAAGTTATGCACTTGATGTAAGAGTGTACGACGACTGATTTCATCTCAAATGGTTTAGTGCTTTGAGCAAGCTTTCAATCACTGCGAGTATTCATGAAAATCTATTTCTATTGCTTTGTTTACATGTTCTACTGTTATTATTGAAATTAAAAAGGGGAGAGTTTGAGAAGAAACTGGAAGACACTAGTTATGAGGAAGAACGATTGATACCTACACTTCATAAGTTTTACGGTCACCATCACGAATTGGTTGACCGATACGATATATCTGTATTTCAACTAACCAGAGACATGTTTCCACAGACTTAAATCTTTAGATACCAAAATTATGGTCTAATTTGAATTTTCTCCGATTGTGACATTTTACCGAGTGTGGTTTTACATGACGGGTGATGTATGCATAGCAGGAGACGCTTATCCTGTCGACGCACTCGATATCGTCATTTTGGAGTTCATGCGGTTTCCTCGGTTTGTGTGAGATTTGATTTGAACATCGGTAAACTACTGTTGCCTATATTTAATATGTTCACGTGTCTGTCCAAAGTAAGGAATCTCACCAGAGGTTATCTTTTAATGTTTTTTTTAATTTGTAGAATTTGGTGTTGATATAGCAACAAAGATGTGGTATATGAAAATAAGGAGATGTGGTATGATTGCCAATGAGACAACTCTCCACCAGAAACCAAATGACATAGGTCACCGTACGGCCTTTAACAATGAGCAAAACCCACAGAACATAGTAAGCTATGAAAAGCCCCGAAATGACGTATATAAAACAATTCAAACGAAAATCCAACGGCCTGATTTATGTACAAAACAATAAAGAAAAAACAAATAAAATATACAGAAACAAACGGCAACAACTAAATTAGAGGCTCCTGACTTTGGATAGGTACTTACAGAATGTGGCGGGGTTAAACATGTTTGCTGACGCCAAACTCTCTCCTAACCTGGGACAGTGGTATCATAGTACAACATAAGAACAAACTAAAAATGTCAGATCTTTGATAGTCTCTGTTTAAATAATTTACATTATCTTCTAGACTCGGGGCAATTTCGAGATTGGTATATGATAAATAAACATTGACAACTGTGTTCTACTTACATGTAACACATATGTTGTGGTTATTTCTGTTGTTTGGTTGTTGTCTGACGTGTACCCCATATCTCCTTTTCGTACAACAATACAAACATATTATAATTAAAACATAGTGAACTATTTTACGAGTTTTAAGTGATAAATTCAAAGTACTTCAACACTTAAAGTTAACGTTATTCTATTTGATACTCCTGCTTTGGAGAAACATTAAGCTTTAGCCAAAAAAAAAAATCACAAATAGTTTTTTAATTGATTTGAAAATCTAGTTTGGACTGATCAACCTATTGTTTTATTCATCTTTAAAATATACTTCCATTTAATGCTTTAATTCTGAAAAAAAGTCTTTTATCCTCAGATTAATTGTATTTCTGTATCGATGGTTAGTATCCGTATGTTGTCAACGGACTCTAAACATGTACCACTGAATCAAGTTTCATTATAACGTGTTTTATATGCATACGTGCACCGTTTATTTGTAAACATGAAACTTTTGTCTTCAGTAGCCCTATAACACCAGCACAAGGCTAGGTTAAATCGCTTCAGTAGCCTTATAACACCACCACAAGGCTAGGTTAAATCGCTTCAATAGCCTTATAACACCAGCATAAGGCTAGGTTAAATCGCTTCAGTAGCCTTATAACACCAATGCAAGGCTAGGTCAAATCGCTTCAGTAGCCTTATAACACCAGCATAAGGCTAGGTTAAATCGCTTCAGGATGCCTTATAACACCAGCACAAGGCTAGGTTAAATCGCTTCAGTATAACACCAGCATAAGGTTAGGTTATATGAAGGGCCGTTCGGGTCATAATTCATTTTGTTACACGTACCCTAGAGGTACACGTAATACTTTTTTCACGTACCCTTGAAGTACAAGTAACAGTTTGTTCACGTTCCTAGAGGTGCGCGTAACAGTTTGTTCACGTACTCTGGAGGTACGCGTAACTATTTGTTCGTGCAGCTAACCGCAACAGAAAACCTGTCACCCCTTTCCCTGAATAATGGATTATCTGTGTCAACATCATTTCATTATCCAATCAAATTCGATTATCTAGATTTTTGCCAAAATGTGCAGGTTTTCGTTATCACAGATAAAAGTTAATCACACCTGAAGAAACAATTTAGTTCTGACAGTATGTCTACTTGAAAGCTACATTTTGAAGGGTCTTTTATTTCACTACAAAATCTGTAGGATGATGCACCCAATCTTCCTGATTTTTGAGCAAAATATTCCTGATGGAAGCTAATCATATTATACAAATATAGCCTTTGTAAGAAGTCGATACGGGTTTATATCGACATAAAGAATATATTGACCAAGGACGCAGTCCGCAGTCGATATACTTCTCAAGGTCGATATATAACCACCTGTATCGACTTCTTAAAAAGGCTATATCTAAAAGCTGACTACTATTCGTTCTACAGTAAAAGATGGCCTTCAAAAATATTGTGATGAGATATATTCCACCAGTGATGTCAATCAGATGTGGATTCTTAAAAATTCTAAAGATTTACTGCTAAATCTTAGATCACAATCTCTGCAATTTTGCAGCAACATTAAAACTTTTGATTTTTCTACGCTTTACACAACTATTCCCTATGCTCAACTAAAAGATCGACTTCATCATCTCATAAACAGAGCTTTTTCTATAAAAATGGGAATCGTAGATATAAATGTTTTGTTTTGGGTTATAATAATTCTTATTTTGTGAAGAATCACATTGATTCTACCAGAAA